AGGCCCCCCTTCTCCAGAAGAAACAACAAATTCCAGAGATTCTGATTCTCAATAGATCCTTTCTTCTGCAAAACAACAGGCCATTTTTACTCCAATCTCAGTTACTCCTGAAGAAAGCTTTTCTCTTAAATTATACGCTAACCTCAGCCAACAGTGTCTACATGTGCACAATGCATTTATTTAAGTCAGCACCTTCACAGAAGTTGTGTTGTCACTTTCATTGTCAGTTAACCACATGTTTTGGATTTTAAATCCTCCTGCTTTCTCTCTGTCATTGTCTGGGAAGGACAGCACATGAGTATGAATAACACACATCTCCCCAGGAGCCCTCCTGCAGCTTGATTTCCACAAAAATGTTCCAGGAAGAAAGGTTGTAACCCCGGGGATTAATTTATTAAGGGATGTTCTTAGACTGAGAGGTGGATATGGTGGGAACAATGATGGAGACACAAATAAAGGACTAACATTTGGATGCTTGAGGCTGAATGGAGGAGCCTGCGCACATTAACGTTGAAAGTGGAATCTCGTCACCCTCAGAAGCTCCGAAACTTGTTCACTCTCACAGGGCCCTGGGGCCAGAAAGAGTTTCTCTGAAGAGGTAAAGAGCATTTCCTTACCTGGCCCATCAACGCACACGCACATGCACATGCACATGTGCACAGAGTTTGTCTAGCCGAATTGAAAAGACACATATGCTCCCTCTAGGAAGATGAACAGTGCAGGGTGATGATCTGAGACAATGCCCTTGTCATGGGATGTCCTAGAGTGGGGATCCTTACACAGCACCCAACTGTTTGCAAAGTCCTCCTCCTGTGCAGGAAGCCTCGTTCACTAACACAATCCCAGGAGCTCAGCACTGGGGAAACTGAGTCTCGGGCTCAGTAACTTGGCCAGCTCTCTCTAACATGAAAACATGTTTTTCCTTCTTTTTCAACCCTCCAAAGAGCACAGGAATGGAAACAGAGGCTGAGAAGGTGTCCATGAGGTGGTGGGCTGGAGGAAGTGTGTGAGGTAGGGCTGCATGTGGGCTCAGCTCCACCTCCTGGCAGCCCCTCCCCTCAATGCCCTGCAGAGAAGAGAAGACCAGGGTTGAGTTTGCCAGCATGAGGTCATTGCTCTAGCATATTCTCAGCCCATGCACGAGTGTGTTACCCCTCCTGGAGTTAGAGCCCAGGCAGAGATGTAGAGATTATGTGGGGGGACATCGTGGAGGGAGGGGGGGTGTTTATGACTCATTTTCACCTGACCTCAGCACAAGGCTCCTGAGCTGGGATCCGTGTGTAAATGATGTTTCCAAGATGCTAACCCTCAGCACTCAGCTCCTAGAGGTAGGAACAAGTCCTGCAGGGGTCACCTCCCAGGCAGCCTGGCCCTGATCTGGAGAGAGCAAAGCTGCCAAGGGAGTGTTTGCTAATTTCCCCTTCTTTTCCATCCTTACATATTTGACACATATGGGAGAGATTTTGATCCACAGCATCCTTGGCCTTCTGCATACAGGTGTATATAACCCTGGCCCTATCCTCAAGATGCCTAGCCACTCAGGCGGATATGTAAACAGTGGCTCCTAAGGCTCCCTGCATGGTAGCTCATTTCATGTGTCAACATACCCAGGCCTTGGTTTGTGGTCAAACACTGTTCTGGATGTTTCTATGAGGGTATGGGGTTGAGATGAACATCTAAGTGGCCAGGCTTTGAGTAAAGGGTGGGCCTCGTCCAATCAGGGGAAGGCCTGTACTAAATAGAAAAAAAAGGGACCTCCCCTAAGCAAGAGGGACGCTGCAGCTGTGTCCTTTTGACTTGAACTTCAGTATCAGCTCTTCTTTGGTCTCCAGACTATCAGCCCACTCCACAGCTCTGGGGCTTTCTAGACTCTGTGACAGGTGAACCAGTTCCTTGATGTTTAACATTTAACTTTTCTCTGTATGCATGTCCTAAAGGTTCTGTTGCTTGGGAGGACCCTGACTAATATAACCTCCAGTGATGTCCCCTAGTCCTGCAGCATTCCTTGCCTGGACCGCCAAGTTTCCCGATGTCAGCAGCACCTCCTATCGTCCCTGTGCCACCAGGTTCTCCAAGGAAGCCAGGTTGTTCTGCTGTAGACCTCCCTCCATACCACTGTCCCCAAACCTCTGCTGCCCAGGCACTTGACGACTGATTTCTAGCATACTTTCTCCCAGACGAAGTCAATGGGAATGAAATAGAAATGAGAAAGAACTCAATTTCTTCCCCTCATTCCTCAGAGCCACTCAATATTAAATTTACATCTTAGAAAATATTTATTTCCATATTCAGGGGAACATCGAGTTACGGAGTATAATCCAGTCTTTCTTATAGGGCTCCAATAAATATTTATTAACTGTTGCTGATGTGCCAGGCACCAAGCGATTCCTCCCAGCCACAGCACAGTTAGTCCCTTCCACCAAAATGACACACCTCCAACCTGCACCAATCTCTGGGGCTTTCTTCGTTGCCTTCTGGAAAACTCATTCTGAAGCCTCAAAATCCAGCTGCCATCTTTGTAAAACTCGAGCCCTCAAGCCCTGGTTCAGCCCTCAGCACTTCGTTCCCTCGCTGTGTTTATGTTTGCCATTGTCACTGTCAAAGTATGTGTTCTGCACCATGGCAGGAGAGGGGTGGGAGTGTGTCCCACTCACCATTAAGAGCTTTGTGGGGGGTGGCTCTCAGTACCATCCATTTCATCTCGTTTCTGCACACACTGAAATATAAAACAACAGAGATGAAATGGGGTCTCACTGCCAATGTTTTTCTTCAGAGGAAAGCTAAATTAGGGAACTTGGCTTTTGCCTGAGACCCAATGATCCCTCTAAGTGAAGTCAGCAGATAGACATTCTCACCTGCCACACCAAGACTGTGTAGGCCGGGCACAGGGTAGAACAGCTGGTGCCTGGAGAAATGGCTCAGGTAACTTGCACCCTTCCAGGAAGAAAGTGGGCTGGGCTTCACAAGCTCAGTGTTTTCCTTCCCAGATGTACTAATCAGGAGTTCTCAGGGAAAGTGATTCCTTATCCAGCCCCTGACTGGGGCTAGGCTGTTTTACCTTCGAAAATGAAGCTCTTGGCCAATGTAGGTAACACGACTTTAGAAAACCAGAAGATGAGGCCTCAGGCATCAGCAATCCGGCTGGCCCTCTCATTTCCCATAGGGGGAAACTGAGGCCCAAGGGGAAGAAGGGATCTGCCAGACACTTAATTCTCACCTGAACATTCTGGACCATTAATCTGTAATTTGTGTGACAGACACTATTAATAATATTGTGACACAAATACCAAGGGCAAGAAAAAGACTACTTTTGCTTCCTGCCACCTGGCCATGCTGCCAGAATACCACGTCTGCCCAGGATGCTCATTCAGGCACTGTACAGCTCTGCCCAAGATATCTGTGCGGGAAGCACCATCTCTGGCCAACTCAGTTCTCTCCACATAATTAAAAGAGGGAGAAGTGAAATGTCAGGAGGACGTGTGCATTTAATAAAATAGCCCTGTTCATTTTTCAATTGTGGCCTTTTCCCCCCTGCCTAAATTCTTGGCCACTTTAAGTTACTTTAAAAAGGAAAAAAAAAGTATTTTTAGAAAAGGAGCAAGGAAGCAAGAAGCAATTTCTAACATTTCATTTTGCTTTGCCATTATTTGAGATTTTAATTTTGAAGAATGGCAGGGAAGCCAAACTGTCTTTGGGTCCACAGATGAATAGAATCACTTTTAATAAAGATAGATTATTCGGGAGGGGCTTGAGATTTCTACCTAAAAACGTAAGGGATGCAGATTCTCCCCAGTGATCCTTGAAATAGCAACCGACCTCAGTTCGAGAACTATCAGTTAAATGCTTTGGTAACTTCATCATCAGCACTGTTTCTTGAGCATCCGATTTCTTTGAGAGGTTCAGGAGCTTCTAAACCAATAAAGGAAGAAACAAGGCGGGTTATTTACGAGTTCCTTCCCCTGGCGGTTTTAAACCGCTGCAAAATAAGCTTGTGCCTTGCATTTCTGAGTTCGGCACCTGCCGGCCTCTGGCTCTGCTGAGCACGCCCCCCGGCGGGTTCCTGAGGCAGTGCACCCCAGGCGGGAGGCAGAAAGCGGCAGCTCTTCCCTGGGCTTCTGTTCCCACCCAACCGCGAGCAAAGCTGCAGGCAAGGGCAGTCCAACCGAGGTTCCCGAGCCGAGACCCTGCATACCGACCCGCTGCATCCCAATCCGGCCGGGCGCGAAGGCATCTTTGGGTCATCAGAGGCTGTGCAACTTCCCCAGAAGCGAACTTTAGTCCAACCTGTGGGGTCGGTGCAGGTACCAGGGTCTTGCACGTGGGTGGAAAGGCTGGAGAGGGCTGGTGACAGCTCGGGAGTAAGAGGTAGAGCTCTGGGCTGCCTGGTTGCCGGCCTCGGAGGACCCTCGAGGGGTGTGGGCCAGGGCCCTGCGGTCAGCGGCTGGGAATCCTGGGACTGGCTTGGAGGCGGGGTCCCCAGGGAGGGCTCTAGGCGAGCCGGTTTGGAAGTTGGGGGATTGCGGGGGCGGGTAGCCCCTCCAGGGGTGTCTCAGGGTGGAGATCCCCAGAGAGAGGCTGGCCGGTGGTCCCGCGGGAGCTGGCCAGCCCAGGGTGCTGGGAGTGGCGGTGCAGGGGGTCCTAGTCCCTGGGGCAGCTGGCTGGCTGGGTCTGGTTGGAGGAGGAAAGCGGTGAGTGCTGATCCTCCCTTGGCCCTCAGGGATAGCTGAGCCCCTCACGGAACTGGCGCTCAGGTAGAGGATTCCTGCCCTCTTGCAGTGGCTCAGGGGAGGACTTGGGGGCGACTGGCGGTAGTGCCTGGGATGTCCGACGATTTGGGGTTCCCAGGAAGCACGTCCCGGTCCCGGGAGTGTCAGATGAGGCACGGTCCAGGTTCTATCTCACGGCTCTGTTTTCTGTTCCAGGCTTGGGCCGGGCCGGGCCGGCGCTCCAGGACAGCCCAGCACTGAGGCCTGGGTTTCT